GAATCAGTCTAAAATTAATATACATATTTTGTATTTTGTTTTGCCTTAAGAATACTTTCAGATGAGGGCCGGGGAGATAGCTCAGTAGAGTAAGTGCTTGTCTGGCAAGCACAAGGTCCTGAGTTCAATCCCTGGTACCACACACAAAAACACACACACACACACACACACACACACACACACACAAAATACTTTCAGCTGAGTTATCTCTATACACTATCATCTATTTGGACCCTAGATTTCCATTTTGTCAATTCCTTCAATAGGCCCCAGGTCGAGTCTAGCCTCATTGCTGTTAACTTTTTCTCTAGATCTGGCTTCATAGTAAAGAATGACAGCACACACTGGTACCAAAATAAGTTGCTTAATATTCTCTGGAAAAAGACAAGCATATCCTCTAGCCCAGATTAGCTTTTTCTTTTTGGCTTTACTTGATTGAATTATAGTTCTGCTGCTGTAAAATTTTAAAAATGTAATAGTATATATTGACAAGTGAAATTGCAAGGATTGAGTCTGCATTTTGTTTTTACAATTGAATTTTGATTGTACAGTGAGAAGGCTTTATCCTATGCTTTGGAATAGGAAGACATGACATAGCCTTCCTTATATGACCCATCTATAGAAACAAGGAAATGAATATAACTTATCTGGGAACCTGGTGTGGTGGCGCACGTCTGTAGTTCCAGCATTGGGGAGGTTGAGAAACGAGGATCACTAGGAGTCTGAGACCAGCCTGGGGGCTACAAAAGTGAGCACGGGGCCAGCCCCAACTATATAGAGAGATACTGTCTCAAAAAAACCAACTTATCTGGAGAAGGACAGTGATACCAGAGAAATTAGTCTAAAATCTGGATGGAGCCAACTAATATTACCAAATAAAATCTGAAAATCCTTTTGGGTTGATCTGAAGAGTTTGGAGCACAGTATATCTTTGTTAGATGAGTTGACTCAAATATATAGAAATTATCATAGCTTGTACCCCCTTGAAGGCTAACACTAGGCCTGCCACCACTTAAGTGAGATGACAAAATCAAGCAACTGTTTATTGATTTTTTTTTGTGGTACTGGGGATGGAACCTAGGACCTTGCGCTTGCCAGGCAAGTGCTTATTCTACTGAGCTATCTCCCTGGTCCCCTGAAGCGACTGTTTAAACCCCACTGTTTTTAGATTGTACTCCAAACCTTTGAATTTGTTTGTAAAATAACAAAACTTTTTAATACCAATTTTAATTTAGGACTGCAAAACTATCAGCCTCATTAGAACTCAAAAGAATTTTAAGTAATCTGAAACTATCTCCATTATTGTAAATCTTAGGAATTCTGACTTGTTTAGTTTTTAAAGGCAATCTTTTTATCTGGAGGATGGAAACAGCCTTTTAATCACATTAAGGGGAAAATGTAAAAGCTTTTTTTTTTTTTTTTTGTGTTAAGTGTATTGGAGTGATGGAGAGACAGAGCCACTCTACTTTCTGCTTTTCTGTGAGGCTCTACTCTTGGCCAAAAGGCCCTTTGCATCTTCCAGGTCAGCAATGTAGCATCTTCGCAGCTGTCATACCTGGAGGCCATCCACACTTGCCTGCCTGCCTATCTATCTATCTATCTATCTATTTATCTATTTTATGTATTTGGTACAGGGCCTACAGGGTCTCACTATATACATTGGACTTGTAGTGATTCTTATGTTTTCAGCCTCCCAGGCGCTGGGATTATAGGCCCCTGCCACCACACCCAGTCTCAACTGCCCTCTCAGCATGACCCCAGGGGGCAGAGCCCGCACGGCATGCTGGGGCACGGCATGCTGGGGATTGAACCCAAGCCGCTGTGTTCTGCTTAAGCAGGCACTTTAGTCCACTGAGCTATCTGGCCAGCCACACACTTGCATTTGAGAAACACTTTAAAGGGGCTATAGCTCAGTGGCATAAGCACCTACCTGGCAAGTGCAAGGTCGTGAGTTCAATCCCCAGTACTGGAAAAAAAAAACTTGAGAAGCCCTTTAAAATGTTTTTCCTTTAGCTGATTATTTTCTATTTTTTAATCCAATATATCCTTTTTAAAAAATAATTTTTAAATGTTTATGAAAGAATGACCAATTGAGTATACTAGTCTGAAGTAAACAGTGTTTTGAATAGATTGAACTATGACTCTGATTTTCCCTGTGTAATCAGCATTAGTAACACCGAGTGAAACCTGGAGGCGTCTTAGTATTGGGGCTCTGCCTCTGGTAGATTTTATTCCACAGCCTCAGGGCTGGGCGAGCTGCTAGCAGCAGCTTGATTGTCTTAGTACCAGGAATGGGCTCCCATGTCCACATTTCCCTCTCCAAACTTCATGAGGGCTATGACCCTGTAGCCACAGCCACTGTGCACAGCCACTGTGTGTGCCAGCTATAGCTCTGGCTCTCAACTCTAGATGTTTGTTTTTTGCCCAGATTTGAAACATAGAAACTATTTTATGGCAGAGAAATTTACAGTGCCAATCATGTGCATTGCCAACACCAAGGTGGCCATAGTCATGAGTCTTCTACTTAGCTCTAGGCATATAGGACTGTTGTCGGTGGTGCACACCCACTTCCACCACTGGACCAGGCATGCAGACACACAAGGGGCTGAGCAATCCCAGCTGGGTCTGCTTGACTGGAGCACAGTGCCCTCCCTGAACCCAGTTTGTGCCCCTCCCCCTGGCGGCTCACAATTTAAAAGAATTTTTTCCTTTTTCATGTAATTGAGCAAAGTTAGAGGGTTCAAACTATCTGCTGTACCATTGCTCTACCTTCCTTGTCCCATTTGGGACTTGATTTTAAAACAGTACAACACACTAAATCCTTTGTGGACTCTTAGAAAGTAACCTAAGTACAGGAACCAAGAAAAGAAACACTTTTACATACATCTATAAACATCTGTGGTTCTTGAGACTATGTTTGCCCCATTTTTAACTCAATATAACTTTCTCCTTTCTGGCTTTTCTCAAACCTATTTTTCTCTTTAAGCTCCTTCATCATTCTTCCCCTAATAAGCCTCCATTCCCATGCTTTACACCTGATGTTTCAGTACCAATGCATACCCATGCTAAATATTGGCTGCAATTCACCAAGTGAGTGTCCAAGAACCTTTTACATAGAGCCATGCAAGGAGGTCCTTGAAGAGTGACCCTGAAGCTCTTTATCACCATCATCTTTAGCTTGAAATCTTCATCAGTTGCAAAGTCACTTGCAGGAACCTAAACACCTACAGAGAGAGGAAGGCAACGGAGGAATAGCTTTCAGCAAGGGACTAAAACTCATGTGAAAACCTGAGTAGGACAGCACTTAGGGTAGTACCTTCATATCCTGAGGTGGGAGCTTATCTTTTCAGTTAGGGTCTTGTATCTGTCCTTATAAAATGGGAAGAACCCACATAGCATTGCCTGAACCAAGAGAAACCTAATTAATTATGAGCCTAAGTTAGGCTCAGAGATGGGAACTTTAGTTTAGACTCATTTTTTCAGTATTTTCTTCTTTTCCTTGGCTCCAGCACCCGGGCTGGGTGCTGTGACACAAGGATAAACAGGCCTTGAAGTCCATCTTGCAGCATGGAATCTCTGCTCTCAGGAGCCTCCTGTAATATACAGAGCACAGGGAAAGACACAGAACAAACCATCTCATGGCAGGGTGTCCACACCTCCTCAGATTCTGCCTTTTCCTGCCAAAAGGAGTGAGACCATGCTGGGAGAGGGGGTGAGTGGCAATGCAGACAACAGAGAAGTGTAGGGGTACTAGCACATTTCACTTACACATACGAACTTTCTTCATGCCACCTTTGAGGAGGGTAAGCTGCAAAGCCCCCTCACCATGACCCCCAGAGATATGTGGCAATGAAGCAAACATGAAAATTTCATGCTCCCTCTCTGCATGTATACCCCTGCTAGACACTGGATCTTCTGTTCGCTGCTTTCCCCCTGTTCCGAGTTACAGCAGGAGAAGGTAACACTTAAGTCTAAGGGGAGGAACAAACCTCTATATTGAGAAATGAAGCACAGCAGGGCACTGTGTATATGCGCTACTTTGCTACCTTATACTCTGAAATAGAGTGGAAGGGGTATGCTGCCACCACAATGAAATTGACTGGTAGGAAGTCAGTGAACTTCATGGAGACTGACTCCCAACTGGAGTTCTTTAGTCTAGTGTTTTCATTTGCCATAAAACATCACAGACTGTTTTGGCTTAAACAACTTAAGTTTAATATCCTGCCACTGTGGAAGATTGAAGGCTGAGCCCCAAGACACAGGTAGGACTGGTTCCTTTGAAGGGCTACTAAGGATCTGTTCCATGTGCCTCTCTGCTCAGACAGTTAATTTTTTGTCTACTGAGGCCATGGAACCCACATATTTGATCAAGTACCAGTTTAAACAGCACTGTCGAGATATGTTTTAGATTGAGATTAACACTTAGTTTCTTTGTTTTATTGAGACAGGGTCTCATTACACAGTTCAGGCTGATCCTGAACTAAGTAGCCCAGGATGGCCTTGAACTTGTACCCTTTCTCCTGCCTCAGCCCCCAGAGTGCTGGGATTATAGGCATGTGCCACTACAATGGCCAAGATTAACATTTACTTATTTATTTTGAGATTAACCTTTAAATCAGTAGACTCTGAGTAGAGCAGATTACTCTCCATGTGGCTGGCCCTCATCCAACTAGTTGAAAGGGTGAATGAGGCAGACTGGGGTCCCTTGTAGAAGAACAAGTTCTATTTTCAGGTGCCTTTGGACCTGAGCTGCAACACCAACTCTTTTCAGGGTTTCCAGTACATAATCTTGCACTGTGAGTTTAAGATTTATCACTCTTCTCACCTAAGTGAGTTAATTCCTTAAAAAAAAATCTCTCTGTGTACAACTGCCAGTTCTGCTGATAACCCACTATTATTAAGGACTACTGGACTATATTAGGTTATTTTAATGAATTCAAGTACCTACAATCTTTGGACTGGCATCAAGTATGAAAAGGTCCTTTAAAGGCTTCTTCAAATACAGCTTTTTTAACAGCAATGGAATGTCCATCTCTGACAAAACAAAACAAAAATGGGGGATATAAATAAAGGACCGTTTTGTAGTGAAAAAAAATCTGTATATACAAAATAGTTAGGATAGATATACAGCTACTTTCTTTTAGTTCAATGAGAAGAAAGGTTTGTACTAATATTGTTTAGATCAGATATCATGTCTGCATCTTATCCTCTGAATAACTACTATGAAGACAACAATATGCAATGTATAGTTATTGTAACTGTCCTACTAACCTATTCTGAAACTGTTTATTTTATTTTCTCATTAAAATGAATAAAAACTGATATAAACAATAATGGATATATAGATATGTATATAGAGTTTATATATTTGGATCTGTATATTCAATTTTGTACTTTAAATATGACAAATGTTCTGGGAGAGAAAAAAAAATCTCTCCGTACTCCCTCACCTCATTGGCTCCCTTCTGGAGAACTTTACATCTTGCTTTTGGTGGTTAGTTCCATTGCTTGTGGCAGTGTTATGTCCAACGTTCACCATGCATTTTCACTGCGTGTATGCCTAGATTTCCCCTTTAATTAAGGATACCAGTCATACTGCAACAGGGCCTAGCCTAAAGATCTCATGTTAACGTCATTATGTCTATAAAGACCTGATCTTAAAAGGTCACATACTAAAGGAAAAGAAAGAAAGTCACATTCTAAGATACTAGGACTTAGGACTGAAATACACAAGATGGGGGCATGTAATTCATTTCATAACCAGCAGTGATATCTAAAAGGCATTAGAAATTCTTAAAGTTAAAATCACTTTTTTCAAGCTTATATGTTATTTACAGTTGCATATCAAATGCCCGAGATGAGAAGTCTTCTTGTTATAAAGCCATATAGAATTGTGGCTCAGGATTTAACACAGTCTGGTCAGCTTGAACCACCAGTAGTACAGAACTGCCTGGCATTGAGCCATACAAATTACAGCCCCATTGTGAATGTGTTAAAAAGATGAATTGTTCATTAACTTTCCATATATTATCATAACAGTAGTTGGAGCCACATTAATTAAGAGCACCTAATTTCTAAATATGTTCACTACTGGAGTTCATTGAGCAAGTTCCTAAAGCAATAGGTATGAGTCATCCTGTAGAGGACCACCTGAGCGACTCTCCTCGAAAGAAGAGCAATTGTCTCCATTTTGGCTGAGCCTGGCCCTATTTCCATGCACTAATGTGTACAGAGGTGGCTAGGACTTTTCCTTATCCCTTTAACTGGCTTTAAGCAACACATACTGGTCTAGCCAAGGTGCTGGTATTAGTCTTTGAAGATGGCATGTGTGTTTCCCTGATAACCCACACCTGCTGCTCTTTAATATGAGGCAGGTCAAGACAGGATGAAGAGTCCATGCTCCATGCTGTCGGCTGGGATCAAGCCTTGAGATAGAAACTGTTGACTTCTAGGGGCTTGAAAGATTACACATGAGAGCTGAAGCATTAGACCCCAAAACATTAGATACTATCTCAATAGTATAATGCAAATTACTTTTTCTGCATATCCTTCTCTCTGCATGACAGAGGTAAATGCAGGCCACCTACCTAGCCCAGCTCACAGTACTCACCTACTTCCTGCCATTCTCAGTCATTCATCCTCAAGCCACTCATCTCTCATGACAGAGTAAAACCTGGGTTTAGCCCTGGGGTGAAGCCTTTGTTTCAGACTGCCATCACCATGGCTGGACTTAGGACCCCTTGGTTCCCTGTAACTATATATATGCCGTAGGGTCTTTATTCTTACTGTGGGTTGCACTGGAAGTGGTAAGATTGGATTTAACTTGATGGGAATCCAATAACTTATCCATGGGATTACAAACAGATACTTCCCAGACCAAGGTGAGAACCAAAAAGGGCTCCCTATATTATAAGAATATAGAATCTAATTTTTTTCTCCCTTATTAGTGAAAACACTAAGTATAATAAAAATGATATGACAAATCACCTGTATTTCCAATGGTCCATTTTAACAATGATTAGCCTGTGGCTAGATGATTTATATAAGAGGTAAGATCTGGGTGCCATTCATTCTTTGATATCACCGAATATTTATGGTGATTTATACTTTACTCATATGCTGCCTATCTGCTGATTTTCAGGCTTAAAAATGTGTGAAAAAGATTGTAAAGGATATTTTTTTGCAATACTAGGGAATGAACTGGTGAATTTGCATTGAGCTACAACCCTTGCCCTTCTTTCTATTTATGGAAAAGGCAGCAAAAAAGTACTGATACATGGTTACAAGTACATTGAAAAATTTCTCGTTATCACACTGACCACTCATTTGCTCACCTGACGTCAAAAGCTGTTTGCAAGTCCCTAAAACCTAAATTAGAAATTTTGTTGTCATTTAAGAAAGCTTCACTTCCGCTTTGTACTCACTTCCCCTCTGAAGGCATGAGCCCAATTTGGGGTTGCCAAAGACTGCCAAATATACTTCTTATACCTCAGCTGTGTTGCAACTAACTGTCCCAGTGTGGCCAATGAAATGCAATACCATCTCTCCATCATTTCCCTAATGCTTATCATTACTAACAATTTAGTCACCTCTTACTGCATTCCAACTTTATGCACTGACACAGCTTTGCCTAGCTGTAGGGAGAACAGGATGGGTGTGCACAGGCACAGAAACCTGTGCCCTTGTTGCTTTTGGCCTCTTAGTGAATTTCAGATCAGGTGTTGATTTAAAAGGAAATTCTTGAAAACACTGAAAAATAGTGCAGCTTCCTACCTCATCCCAGAAGAAAGCGTGAATGTTGGTTTACTGTGGATTCCCATAGAGGCTGTAAAGGAATTGCTTTGAGATGTGCAGGGCTTCTTCTCTCATCCGATGTTTCTGGCTGTTCTCTATCTTCCAGCAAGACTCTAAATAGCGGAGTGGAGAAAGACTATCAGTAAAAAGGGAGAAGCAGTGCACAGGAATGTGGCTTTCAGCAGCTGACAGAGAACAATTTTTTTTTTTGGCTGGCTCAGCCTTCCCTGAGGGTGGGGCTGGCAAGGCATGTGGTACCCGGGAAGGAACCATGGTCCTCTGTGCCTGTCTAAGCTTGCCTAAGCAGGCCTTTAGACTGCTGAGCTATCTTGACGGCCCTGAGAACAAACTTTAATCAAATTAAGGCATGCAAATCTGTAACCTCTCTCAAGGTTTTCCAGCAAAAACAAATGCAAATTACACTGATATTAATTAGTTTCCAGCAGCCTCAGAGCAACAGTATTTATCACTGAATATCACAGAAAATCTCAACTATCAATAAGAATGTTTGTATTTTGGAGGATACTCTCTTCCACCTTTGGAGTAGAGCAAAGAATGAGGATTTGTCCACAGGACACAAGTGTGCTGGCGATTCCCTGTCCTGCTGATGGCTGTAATTCTGTCCTGTTTCCCTGGCACGCGGGTGGGGGTGGTGGGGGTGGTATCAGTAATCAACAGCAGTGGGAGTCTCAGTTTGCAGTACCTAGGTTTCTGGAATTGCAATCTTCATATTCCCTAAGTCTCTTGGACAACTGTTCTACCTTTAAAAGAAGGAGCCAGCTGGGCATGGTGGCCTATGCCTGGAATCTCAGCACTTGGGAGGCTGATGCAGGAGGATCGATGAGAGCTCGAGACCAGTCTGGACTACAAAGCGAGCTCAAGTCCAGCCTGAATTGCATAGCGAGACACGGTCTCAAAAAGACAAAAAAAAAAAAAAAAACAAGTGCCTTGAGATCCTTCCAGAACATAAAGAAGGGCAGACGCGGGCAGGGGCTAGTCTCATCATCCCCTTCCCACACCCATTTCACAGAGAAACCCTGCCAGGATCCTGATTCTCCTCAGCAAGACCGAAAGTACCCCCCGAATCCGGGGCCCATCGTGGTCGTGTGTGGAGGAATGGGGCATTCTCTGTCTTCTCAGGCGGAGTACACTCTCCTGTTGCTCAAACTTCACATCGTCATCTGCTCTTAGCCGAGCCAGAGACCTGTGACTTGCTCTCCAGAGTTCAGGTTCTACCGCTCAGCCATCTTGGACACGCCCCCTGACGCTTTACCACGCCCCTTTCCTCCAATAACCGCTTCGCTAGTCAAGCCATGGCCCTATTCGGCCTCCGTTCCCCAAAACGTAGGGAGTCCCGCCCTAGACACGCTTCCCGGCGCCCGGCACCGTACTTGCCTTTTTCCCTGCTCGCGCCAGGGTCTTTATTTACTTTCTACCCCAGTACGTATCTATAGCGACCAGGGCACTCCCTCCGCGGCCACATGCCTGCTCATAACTTGCCTTAGTCCTTCGTGTCTCCATCATCTTTATGACGCAGGAGCGCGGCAAGGCCACGCCTACACGCAGGGACGCACCTCCAAGTTCAGGGCACGTTTCTGCGTTCCCCTCACCTGTGCCCCTCCTCTTTAGGCCACCGGCCCACTTCTATCTGTGGCCACGCCTCCATGTTCGGCCTAGTCCAAGTCCCAGAGCGAAGCTTCTTGCGCAATCTAGCGATCGCCATTTCGCTCGTCCTGCCCTCCAGAACTTCCCTTCTGGAGCTTCTGCCCCTGTTCTCTGGAAACTTGCCCTCCATCTGGGACAGCCCCTTCCAAGAACTCGCCCATTTGCCAGGATTCCTCCTTACAGTTCGGCTAAGCCCAATTTGTTCAAATTAAATTGCTGTAATTCCCCTAAGCCACGCCCCTTCTTTTGAGCCTTGAGGTCTGCCCGTTTAACTAGTGGAGCAGTTCCCACGATGGCCAAGCCCCACTGCTTACGTCATACCCCTTTCATTCTGCATTCCCCTACCCCTTCGACCTGGTATACCCAGATCTTCCCAACCTAAGGCTGCCCCGTAGGGTTCGCATTGGTCATTTTCGCCCTGCATGTGCGCATTTACCTGTACTACGTTTGTTTTAGCCCAGTTTTCCCAGGCTACCCAGTTTCATTCACTTCTGCACCTGTGCTTCACGCGGTCCAACCCATTTCTTTTCCTAGAGAACGAACAAGTCTCTTAAGAAAACCGCCCAAGTCCCTGAGCTAGACTTGAGCAGTATTTATAATGAAATGAGACTACGGACTCCTGGTCCCCTAAAAATGACTTCTTGTTTCTCCCAGCTCTTAACATCATCCCCCCCCCCATAAGCAGTAATCGGGTAGGAAACAACTGGAGGTACAGTGGTAGAAGCGTGTTTCTTGCAGCCAGGTTTCTTATCCTCTAACCCGACCTAGAGGGCATGATCCTTCCAGCCACTCAGCACACTTTAAATGCTAGCCAGCGTGGGGAGTAAGCACACTGCTTGCTGCTGTGAGCTCTTGATGACCTTCTAGGCACCTCTGCTTGCAGCGTCCTGCTCATGTGTTACTCTTATTACACCATTTACAGTTCTGGATCCACAAAAGAAAAAGCAAGAAAGTTATTACCAGCTTTTCCCCTTCCTCTCCTACCCAGAAATCCTTGAATGTGCACTCCCGGAGGAAGGACGCTTTTTATTCGCTAGTAATTCATTCAAAAAAGATTTATCAAGTACAGTACTGTGTTCCTATGACAACAGAACGTTCGAGAAGCTTACAGACTAAAGTTCCTGGACCTGAATTTGGATGTGGACAGGAAAGGAGGAAAAAGTTAAGACATGCTGTAAGGGAGTTGATAGGTGGAAAAGGACTTGGTAAGTGCTGATCTGTTGATTGGACCATTAGGAGTGCTTTGGGGCAGCAAACAGAGAGCCACTTTTTTAGTACTTAACTACAATCCCTTACAAAATACATTCTCAGTAAATCCACATTAAAAATTTGCCCTTTTCATTTGCATACAGGGAAAACCTATAAGGTTTTCCGTTGGTGGCAGTAAGACTTTCTGTATGTAATTATACATATGCCAGTAGTCAAGATTTTTTGATCACAAATGAAATATGAGTTCCCTTCCCGGCCACCTTCCATCCATTTTTGCATTGAAGATGGAATATATGTATGGGGTTCACATTGATGAACTAAAATCATAGAGTAAAGAACAATTTTCAAGGGCCAAATAGCTCAGCGGATTAAAGCTCCTGCAAGCAGGCACAGGGGCCGAGGGTTCGATACTGGGTCCTGCCATGCCGGCCCCGCCCCCAGGGCGCACTGATATGGCAATTGAGACTGGGCATGGTGGCACGCACCTGTAATCCCAGCTTTTGGGAGGTTGTAAATAGGTGGATCACTGTGAGTCTGATTTAGTAGTGAGACCTTAACACCCTGTAGACCCCTAAGATACAGAAAAAAAACAATTTTCAACAAAACATTTTTATTAAAGTCACCTTGGCCCTGCAAACTATCTCATTATATAAAATATTTCAAATGCCTTTTTTTTTTGCCTGAAAAGATAAACTCACAGGAAATGAGGTCAAGTATATTTCATAAAAGTCACTTCTTTGACTATTATAGTATTAGTTATAGTTCTTGCACAAAGGATATGGAGCAACTTACTCAAATATAGACTCAAACACTATAAATAGAAATTGTTGAAAGAACTTAAGGGCAAAATTCATTGAGAATAAATAAGACAGCCAATTGCACACCATCAGATCCAGAATAGTAGTTGAAGTTGAGCAATAGATTTGCTTCTAAGCTTCCAAATGGTCATTAATAATAACCATTCTTTAATTAAGGCTTTACAGTGTTTATGAAAACCAGCTAAGATTTTTAATATTTTTATGTATTTCATTGTCACGGGGTCTCACTACACGACTTGGACTCCTAGTGATACTCCTGTTTTCAGCCTCACTAGTGCTGAAATCACAGGCTTGTACCCCCATGCCCTGTCTTTGTGGCTGGCTCAGTGCACCCTGGGAGGGGGGCTGGCACAGCTTGTGGTGTGGGACATCCAACCCCAGTCCCTGCACTTGCCAGTCAGGCGCTTAGTCCACTGAGCTATCTTGCCAACCCTAGTTGGATCCTCTTGATGTAAACTTGCCACAATCACAAGGCAAGGTGTATTAAATTGGTTGTTTGAACCATCCGAACTTTCCAGTTCAGATGAGTACTCAGGCTCCCAATAATATAGCTTAATTCAAGGTAGTGTTTAGGTGATGGCAAATAAATTTCCACTGTCATCTTGTGACCATTGATATTAGCTAGCTGGGTAAATGAGTTGGGAACTTTTATAGCTGAGTTCATGCTCAAAAGAAAAAAAGTTCTGTAATAGATTAATAATGTCTGTTGTTGCCATGGGTGGGGGGGGGTAAGTGCAAACAACAGTGTATCTGGCATCTCTGACTCGTAATACGGGTTTTGTGTGCACAACTTTTATGGAGTCGATAAAAAATTCCTCATTATAAGACTTGATGAAATTCAGATCATACTATAGATGGCTCGAGGTCATTATTGTTGGACACTCTGAGGTATCTATTAATTTGTCTTTTATATTAACCAGAATGAAGATAATTTAAGATTGTGTTATGAAAATGACATATAGTATAAAACTTACATGGCTCAGAGCTGGGGATATAGCTCAGTGACATAGTACCTCGCTGGCAAGTGCAAGGTCCTGAGTTTGATTCTCAGAACCAAGGGAAAAAATAACTCTTACATGACCTGATGCCCCACTACCACTCCTTTGCAAAGGATGACAAAAAGAAGCAACTATAGACAGGGCCAAATGGGATTTGGTGACCTCCAGTAGGCAGAAAAGTAGATAATTATGGGTGGGTAATATATTATTTCATAGAGAATGGCTACAAAAATTTTAACCAAGAAAAATAGCTTGCCAAAACCATGAGAAAACTCGAGAATTGTCCAGAGACAAAATTATAAATTTGGTTATAAATCTAATTGACTTTTATTTGTGATTCATGAATTAGGGTAGCCTCCATTCTACAAAATCACATGAAAAATCCAACTGAGCTACAGCAGAACAGTGGATTTTATAAGACGGAAACAAAATCCTAGAAAAGTAGAAAAAATACTGTTTGGTTGACATCAATTTCCTTTAGGTTACTCACTATAAGGATTCAAACAGAAGGGACTTTTAGGCATGCAAACTCAAGTAAATAAAATGGGTTGTTTTCAGCAAAACCTGGTCTATTTGGGGGATCTATCAGCTCTAAATGTTCAGTTTGATCATGTGGCATTTCACATGATTGACCCGTTTTGGTTTGGTGTGGGTTGTTGGAACTAGTGTAGGAACTGAGTCCAAAACTATTGGCCTTCCCTAAATTTTGTTTTAACATACCTGAGCAGTGGTGGAGATAGACAAATATAGTATGTAGGAAGAGACATCAGTGAAAACTTTCATTACATGAGATTCATTCTAAAGTATTGATCTCAGGCCCAAGACACAGAGATGTTCAGATGTCCTGTTAAGAAACTGTTCTTCAAGTTCTTACTTTGAAAAGGATTTTATTTTGGTTGGCTCAGGTTGCCTTAAGGGCATGTCTGGTCATGTGGAGCTGGGGATTGAACCTAGGTCCCCCATGCCGGACTGGGTTTGCCCATGCAGGTGCTTAAACAACTGAGCTAATTGACAAGCCCCCAAAGTTCTTACTTTGGTATAGAGAGTTGGCAGAATTACATTTACCTAGTTCATTGGAATTAATTTTTATTTGTAGGTAGTAGTGATTAACTTTCTCTGAAGAACAAAAATGTTAACCTATGAATAATAAGACAAAGTTCATAATGCTTATGGGTATTGATTAACCTACAAAATTTGATGAGCTTTGCGAATATCCTAGTGTCATCTGATTTTTTTTTTCATTTTAAAAAGTACGTGAGCTAGGGGGTGGAAACAAAAACATTCCAAAGCCCAGGGGTCCTTGTTTATCCAGGATACTGGGAGCTGTTTTTCTCTGGCTAGGAATGTGAAAAATAAAATTGCAACGTACCGCATAGTACTGCACTTCATTCCCATAGTCTCACACTTATTAGAATTCCAGTTTATGGTTTATTTTTTTTCTAGTTTATGGTTTAAATTAGTTTCATTTTCTTAAACTATGAAATATTCATT